TTAAAGTTAAAGTTAAAGTTAAAGTTAAAGTTAAAGTTAAAGTTAAATTTAAAGTTAAAGTTAAAGTTAAATGTTGAAATTGAAGTTAAAGCTAAAGATAAAAATAAGGGTGTTTAAAGTGAAAAGTAAAATTAATGTTAAGTATAAAATAAGATTTAAAGTTAATGTAAAAAGAACTTACACCTAATGTTAGTGCTAAAGTTAAAGTTAAACGTGAAGGCAACCTTTTTCGTTGGTATTCCAAATACCGCCCAACGGGGTCTGCTAGTGGCAAAAGTAAATACATATGTTTGTCTCTGCTTTAGTGGATTTACATTCAAAACGATTTTCTACGGCTATTCCAATTGAAGCAAACTGAAGCATGAGCACAAATTGAGCAAGTCAGCAACAGTAATAACAAAATGAGCAAAGAAACGGCTATGCAATACTTACTTCGATTTGATATCACGCAATTTTATTCACAGCTGTCTTTCGCTCATCTATGTATATACAGTGACTCAAACAAATGTTCACATGTTGGCTTGTTTTACATATGCAAGTCAATTTTTAATTTTTATTTTATATTTTTTTTATATTGTTCATGTTTTAACCAATACCATGTAAATCAAAGTTTCAAACTTTATACAAACTTTAGAAGAAATCATATAACTTTTAGAACATTTTTGCACTTTAGTCAATAAAAATATTATGGGCTATAAAACTGCATGCCAAAAAATTTTCAGATTAAAAAGTTCAAAATTGATACATATGAACATTTTTTCAACTTTTCTAAATTTTTTTTTAGGTTTGATTTATATTGTTTTGGTTAAAGTATGTACAATATCTTTATTAAAAAATAACCAACAAAATTTTAATGTGAAAAATATTGTGAATATTTAAACGAAATCAACATGTGATTACTTGTTTGAGTCACAATAGATGTTACGTATCTAAGTGAAGTCGCAGTCAACTAAGTAACCAATGTAATCGACAAACGTCCAACCAAACAAATCAACCGACCAGCAAACAGTCGGCGCCGTATGTACAATGAGCTGAAAAATAAACAAAAAAAAAAAAACAAACCCGGAAGAGCAAGTGAAGTCAAATTTGAGTTAGAGAAAAGATGGCTCCATGCAAGTTTTCTAACGTGACTGCAAAAAGTTATAGCATCTTCTACTCGGATGCATTTGAAAAGAAAAGATAACTGCAGTCAATTTCTTCACGCTAAGTAAGTAGACCGTTACTGTGTTTTTGCAAAATGAAAGGTGTGCAAAAATATCTAGATAATAAATACAGATATGCGTTTATACGAACATACGTACATTTTATTTGATATATTGATACAATATATATTGCATTTTATGAATGGTGGGTGATGCATATGCAGCCTGTCTTTAGCAATATATTGATGATTTTTATCTTCATTTGTTCATCAATTGTTCACTCGAACTTTGTACTTTCAAACACTTTTATTGGCTTGTGTTTTGAAAGCGTTTACACTTTGGCTTTCATTCATTAAATACAGGCACGTTCACCTCTTTGTCAATGAACTTAAATATTGAAATGAAAAGGATGTTCGGAATGGCGAAACATGATGATAGAGTATGCTCTGGCAGGCAGTTTAATCAGATTTTTAAATTAAAAATATTTTGCTAAGAATAATGTTTGTTAAAATAATATTAAATTTGGAAATTCATCTTTGATGCTCTAATGAACGACCGCAAATCACAACCTGCTCTATTCAATACCATCTTAACTCTCAATATTCTTTAATAAATCAGAGTAGGTACTACTCGACCACACACGAAATGGCCATTTTATTAACTCTAAACGATCAGTAAGAGAAGAAAACGAAAATTGTATTCATCTTAGAAAGACAATGTTAGGCTAGGTTAGGTTAGAGTGGCTGCCCCGCGCAGAGCACACGTGGGCTGGAAAAGCCCGTTGTGATACCACTGGGCGAAGCCATTTGTTTCTTTCTCTCCCTTAGTAATTGAACCACCGAGTGCGTTTTATGTAGCACAAAAAGTCGAGAACGTTCGCCGAGTTCAAATCGGCTAAACAATCTAGAAAGTACTTGTTGAAGAATTGGTTGCGCATGTTGGCTTGGGTAGGACAATGGCAGAGATAATGTTCGATGGTCTCCACCTCTTCCTCGTCTCTGCAACTGTGACCGAAATTGTTGGTGGGTTATCCTATCCTTTTCCGTGTGTGCCCATCAGGCAGTGGCCGGTGATTACCCCGACTATTAATCTGAGAGAGGAGCGGTCCAGCCGGGTGAGAGCTAAGGATCACCTTACATCATTACATTGGCCAAATTTGCCTGGTAGTATGGCAGGTGGTTTCCACAGTTCATCTTATATTTACCTCCTTAACGAGTTTCGCCTTTAGTCTGTGTTTGCAGGAGGTTAGAGGTATGCCCGCATTCCGAGCAGAATTGAGTACAGATATTTCCGTCCCCCTCCTTGCCAGTTCGCCGGCTAGGCAGTTGCCAGGGATGTCCCTATGTCCAGAGACCCATACAACAGTCAAAGAGCATTTTGATGCCAGCAGGTTGAGAGTCTTCCGCCATTCTATGGCTACTTTGGACGTTGCTTCTTTAGTATTGAGAGATTTGATAGCAGCTTGGCTGTCAGCATAGATAGCGATAGGCCGTCCAGGAGGTGCGGAGGCTATAAGCCACCGCGCCGCCTCCATTATGGCGTTTAATTCTGCTTGATAAACGCTACAATAAATAAATGTAGCAACAGCAATAAGTAAATGTAGCGAAATGGCAACACTGGTGAAAATCGGTACTTTTTAGGAGAGCAAAGAAACTGTTGTAAAAAATGTTGTTAAAGCCAATATCCTTGACTTCTAAGAAGACTAGAAATTCGACGATTTGCCAACTTTGATATGGTAGCGACGATATCTATAACCAAACTTACAGAGCAAGTTTGTCGTTAAGTTATCTTAAATGAAATTTCGAAATTGAATGATGAAATTATTTAAGTTTAATTAAAATGCTTTGAATTAATTTCAAGTCTTCATTCAACACATATGTACATAAATTCCTTTTAGTTTCGGCATTTCTCACAGTCTGCTCCAACTTTTTTTTTATAACTTTTTTTCTCCCATCAAATGTACCATTTATTTTAGGCCAAATAAAAAGTCACGCAGCTCAACAGACAAACAGCCAGCTAAGGCAGCACGCAGCCAATCTGCCGACGCGCCGATGCATTCAAATGCACCCACAAACACACACACAGTCACATTTATATGCATGTATATACATATACATATGTATGTAAGTATTTTGAACTTAATTTACACAGTTGGAGAGAAAGCTGTGATCT